TCAGTTAATCATTTTCCTATTTAATTTGGCTGTGACAGAAGTTCCAGAATTTGGGGGATCTTGGGGTTTTAAAAACAATTCTGTTTATATGTATTTTTATATATGGGTTTTTTTCTCATATAAATTTTACTTTTTCTCTGTCCAAAACCTATCTTTTTTTCTAATGGTACTTATATTTTCAAAATACTTACTTTTGAAGCACAAGAATATAATATTCCATTTTAATGTTCTGGAATTATTGTAATATAATATGGATTTTTTTTTAAACCTTTAGGGGTCTTATTGGGCAATTGACACCAATCCGAAGGAAGATGCGCTACCTACTCGGCCAAAGAAGAGGGCACGATCTGTAGAACGGGTAAAAACTCTTTATTGGAACTTTTGTATGATAGGTTTAAAATGTCACAAATACAGCGAGGTTTTATTTTATTATTGCTAAGAATGTACAGAGGCAGTGCGATTGGCACAGGATAGGGCTGGGTTTAGGGCTGTTATACATAGGGTCGCTATGAGTCGCAAGTGACTCGACAGCACATAACAACAAGAATATACACAGGAAAATCTGTACCAATTCAGCGACTTAATGACATTTTCACCTTATTTTAAAAAAACTTTATATTTGTTTGCATACGTCACTGTAGTTATTTCTGAACATAAACTCACTGCCATCTAATCTTCCTTTCTAACCTTTTGAGTTACTTTGGTACCATATTGTTGTTAGGTGTTGTTGAGTATGTTCTGACTCATAGAGACTCTCTGTATAACATACTGAAACCTTGCCTGATCATGTGCCACTTTCATAATCTCTGCTGTGCTAAAATCCCTTGTTGTAGTCCCTCTATCAGTCTGTCTTGCTGAGAGTCTTCATTTTATTTGACCCTTAACCTTTATAACCATGATGTCCTTTTCCAGAGACTGGCCCTTCCTGATCACATAGCCAAAGTATGTAAGACAAAGTTTCATCATCTTGGCCGCCAAGGAGCTCCTTGATGACATGTCTTCTAACCTAGATGTATTTGTTCTTTTGGCAGTCCATGGGATATTCTCTACTCTTTGCCAACACTACAATTCACAGGCATCAGTTCTTCTTTTGTATTCCTTATTCATTTTTCCAACTTTCACAACTATTTCAAGCAATTGAAAATAACAGTTTTAACTTCTTAAAAGAACGTAGTGTTTAAGACAGTTTCTTTCACTAGTTAAATTATTGTGTAGTTGTAAGGAAGAAAGGTTTTAAAAGTTAATTTTCACTTTAACCAGTATAAGCATAATGAAAGTAGTTGTTGTTAGGTGCTGTCTAGTTGAGTACAACTTATAGTGACCCTAAGAATAAAAGATCTGAACCCTGTTCTATCCCGTACTATTTTCACACTTCTTGGAGAGTGCATTATAGCAGTCACCATGTCAGTCCACCTGGGTGAGGATCTTCCTCTCCTTCACCAGCCCTCCACTCTTCCTAGCATCATTTCCTTCTCCAAGGAAATTCCTTCCTAGCAACATGTCAAAAGTATTTGAGACAAAGCCTCATCTTCTTGCCTCCAAAGAACACCCTGGCTGCACCCTCTCCAAAACATGTCTGTTTATTCTTTTGGCCGCCCATGGGATGTTCAGTGTGCTTCTCCAACACCACAGCTCAAAGGCATCAATTTTTCTTCTCTCATCCTTACTTATTTTCCAGCTTTCAGACACATAGCAAGGAATTGGAAAGACTATGGCCTAAATCAGGCGCATCTTAGTCTTCAAACTGGCATCATTACTTTTCAACTATTTGGAGAGGTCCCTAACTGCAGGTTTTCCCAGTACAATTTGTCTTCTTATTTCCTGACTGCTGATACCAAGAGTGTTAATAGTTAATCCAAGCAAGATGAAGATGTTGACAGTTCCAGTCCTCTCCATCCATCATGATGCTGCCTATTGGTCCAGTGATAAGAATCTTTGTTTTCTTGACATTGAAATAAAATCCATACCGAAGGCTTGATCTATAACAAGTGCTTCAAGTCCTCCTCACTTTCAGCAAGTAAAGTCGTGTCATCTGCATAACTTGGGTTATTGATGAGTCTCACTCCAATCCTGATGCCACAGTCCTCTTCATAGAGTCCATCTTCTCCAACAATTTGCTTAATATACAGATTAAATACGTATGGAGAGAGAAAGACTATGTAAGTGTATTTCATTGAATGTATTTTGAGAAGACACAATCAATCATAAACTTTTAGTTCATGTTTTACCTTCTATGGAAATTCTACTATCAGTTTAATTCTTTATTTCTTAATGGTACAAGCATTGGATCAGGGATTTTCTTAAAAACTTATGGGCTTTTTTTACGTAGAATTGGAGGATCCTCTCAACTTCCTCTCTTAAAGGGTTCTGTTGTCCCTCTCTAGTTATTGGTTCTTTTCTTCAGTTCAGTCCTGCCAATAGAATTCCTGTCATTATCTACTGCTGATTTTGGAAAAAAGATGCAACAAAATAGAAAATTTACCATCATGATGCTCTCCAGGTTTCAATTTCTGTCTATGACTTATGTTAACTCTTCAGATCCTCAATTAGTTTTTGTTTTTCACCTCAATTTATTGTTAGGATTGGAAGGTTGCTTTATAGAGGTGTACACTGCTTAGACCAAAAGTGGAACTTTTGGATGGGTTGTTGTTGTTGTGTACCGTAGAGTTGGAACCAATCCATAGCTGACCCTCTGGTGGGTTTTCAGAGGCAGTAAATTGCACAGGAGGAGATCCCATGGAGCAGCTGTGGGCCTCAAACCATGTGCCTTTGGGATTGTGACATAGCTTCTTGCCATTAGGTCATCAGAGCTGAACAATAATGGAAGAAAAGAGGGAACTCAGAAAGATCTTTTAACAACTATTAACTGAATTAGATTCACTGATACTTTGTCCAGGATTTTAGATACAGCTGTTCCCTGTTTACACTTTAGAGTGCTGAGACCCTTAGATTTATTAAACTACTTAAGACCTACTAATAACAAAAGAAATCCATTTAAAAAGCAAAAAGGATACACTAATAAGCATTTCAGAGAATGTACTTTAGTCTCTTGATTGAACAAAACTGAAATAGCCATTTAATAAATGTAATTTAAAGGTTCAAAAATTTTATTATCTAATTTATAATATTGGAACTATTTGGTCTGGCCATGTTAAAATACTAATCCCATGTTTAAATATTGTACTAAGGTTGTCTCCTTTATCTTTAATCACCACTGAATATTTGTCAATGTCAGTCGACCCTCAGTATTAATAACAGATATGGTTTCCAGTCTTTATAGCAGTTGGGATTTATTGTGCTTGTCATGTATTCATGCTCTGTATGGTATGTAAATTATCATTAGTGGTCTTAACGAATTTACAGGAAGTGCTGTGATCCTCTTTTTATAGATGAGGCTATAATCATAAATGCTGAGTAACTTGTATGAAATTACACAGCACATCTTTCTCTGTTTCTAGATATTATTTTCTCTCTCGTCCACTCAGACTCATAGAAACCTATGGATAACAGTTCAAAACCAAATCCTGCCCTCTCATGTGCCAAACTCACTGTCTGCATTTTGTTGAGGATCTTCCTCCCTCTAATTTCCACTTTTCTCAGCATGTCCTTTTCCAAGGACTGGCCCCACTTGACACAAGCCCAAAGGATGGGATGAGATTTCACCATGCTTGCCTCTTAAGGAGCAACTGGTTGTACTTCTTCCAAGACAGGCTTGTTTATTCTATCGGCAGTCCACAGGATGAATCTTCAGTATTCTTTGTCAACATTACAATTCAAAAGCATTGATTCTTCTTTCATCTTTATTCATTGTTCAACTTTCAAATGCATAGAAAGCAATTGAAAATACCATGATGTGCATCAGGTGTGTGTTAGTCTTTAAAATTATATTGTTGCTTGTTTGGAGAGGTCCTTGACAATAGATATCCCCAATGCAACGTGTCCTTTGATTTGTTGATTGTGGCTACCACTCATGTTCATTCTGAGATATAAGTAAAATGAAATTTTTGACAACTTCAGTTTTTTTCCTGTGTCTTTCATGATACTGCTGTTTGGTCTAGTGTTAAAGATTTTTTTTCCCCCCTGACATTCAGATCCAGTCCATATTAAAGTCTGTGGTGTTTTTTCTCCTGCAGCAAGTGTGTCAAGCCCTCTTAGCTTTTAACAGGCAAGACTGTGTTGTATGTATAATGCTGGTTGTTGATGAATTCCTCTATGCCACATTCTTCTTTATGTAGTCTTGCTTCTTGAATGATTTGTAGCACACAGATTGAATAAGTTTCCAGAAAGGATACAAGTCTGACATACACTTTTCCTGATCTTAAACCATACAGTGTTGTCTTATTTTATCCGGACAGCTACTTCTTGATCTGTGTATAGGTTTATCATGAGTACAATTAAGTGTTTTGGGATTCTTATTCTTCAATACTAACTTTAATTTGTTAAGATCCAACAGTCAAATGCTTTACATTGTCAGTAAAACACAAGCATCTCTCTACTTTATGTCAGAAATCCATCTAACATCAGCATGCTGTCTAGTTCCATGGCCTCTTCAGAATCCAGCTTGAATTTCTGGAAGTTCCCAGTTGATGTACTTGTTTCAGCCATTTTTAAATAATTTCCTTGCATGTTATTGTTCAATAATTTTCACGTTCTGTTGGGTCACCTTTTTTTTGAATGGGAATAGACATGAATCTCTTCCAGTTAGTTGGTCAAGGAGCTGTCCTTCAGATTTCTTGGCTCTTTAAGTGAGCAGTCAGGGCTGCATCTGTTTGTTGAAACACAGTTGGTATTTCATCAATTCTGGAAACCTTATTTTTTGCCAGTGTCTTCCATGCAACTTCAGCGTCGACTTGCCTTTCCATCGATTCTTCATTGTATGCTACTTTTGGAAATGGTTTAGTGTTGGCCTGTTCTTTTTGGTATAATAACTATCTTCTGTCTACTTTTGATGCTTCCTTGCATATGCAAGTTCAAATTGAAATGGAAGAAGATAAAAAGATGTTTACAAGAACAAATATACAACGTTAGGCCTATCCAAACAGAATTTAAAACTATGTCAAGACTAGATTTGATGCATTGAACACTAATGACCGAAGATAAGTGAGTTGGGGGATGACATCAAGGATATCATCTATGAAATAAGCAAAAGGTCAATGCCAAAGACCGAATAGTAAGTTAAAAATGGATGTCGGAAGAAAGTCTGTGAGAGTCTGAAACTTGGACTAGAATGGAGAAAGGATAAAATGATTTACTGAAGAGAAATGAACAGATGATTTCAAAGGGCAGCAGCAGAAGACAAAATAAACACTACCTCGTAGAATGTGCTATGGGAGAAGAGTACTGTGTATTCCGTGGACTACCAAAAGAGCAAACAGATAAGTCTTGGGGAAGGTGCAGCAAGAGTGCTCCTGGAGGCAAAGATGACAAAGTTTTGTCTCACATACCTTGAGCATGTTGCGTGGAGGGGATATCATGCTTTGAAAGATAGTAGTGAGTGGGTCGGTGAAAGAGAAGAAAATCCTCAAACAGAGGAATTGACACAGTGACTGCAGCAAAGGACTCAAGTGTGTCAGAGATTGTGAGGAAGGCATAGTGTAGGACAGGGATTCGGATATGTTGTTCATAGGGTTACTACTATGAGTAATACTCACTTGATGGCACCTGACAACTACACTAGAAGGTTAGATACAGAACTGTCTAAAGTAATCCTGTGCATTTAATTTAGGTTTGGCTCATTGGCTGTACCCAAAATTGCAACTTGAAAACTTTTCATTGTTGTTGTTGTTATGTGCCGTCAAGTCGTTTGTGACTCATAGCGACCCTATGCATAACAGCCCTAA